CGTCATAATCGAGTACCATTTGGTTGTACATTGTTCTTCTTATGCCTGAAAAGATATAAACAGTGCTGCTGTCATGCCTCTGCTCATTACCGCTTCGGACGGTGTGGCACTTGGTCCTGCAGCAAGCAGGAGCAAGTCAGCGGATTAAGGTGGATCACGGCGTGACCACCTATCACAATGAGGAAATGAGGAACTTGGAAAAGTTATACATGCAAAATACTCCCTACTAAAAGGGGTATATATATATCGCTTGAAAACCCGATTTCCGATTCGTTTCGACTCAGCTCGACGAGATCTGAACATGTTTGTGTGTGTAACACATTTTTTTTATCGGCAACCAAATGAAAGGTTTCATGGTCTCATATGACATTTTTGGATGTTTGCAATGCAATGGTGGTTATATCGAGTACCCAGGACGACACTGGACACTTCCGAACATGTTCCGTGAACTCCAGGGGAAGTTTCCAGCTTCTGACTTGAACCAAAACCCATTTCACATGAGAAATCAAAAACAAGAGCAAATGTGGTTATATAAAGTGCCCAGGAACTCATTGAATACATCCAGATGTTCCGGGTACTTCAGTTTCTGACTTGGAACCCATAATGCGGCACCTCAAATCACATGAGAATTTTCAAAAAAGTGCAATGGCTATATCAAGAGCCCAGAATCACATTAGACACATCCGAACATGTTGCGAATACACCTTGGGTAGTTTTCAGTTCCTTTCAAGGGCCATACGACACACGACCATCATACCACACATAAAGTCGTAAGAATACGTAAGAAGGGTCAGATCTGATCAAAAAGTTTATTATAAACCAAAACATCCTAGCTAAATACGGCATGGTTGACAACAAATAAACATTTCCTTAATTTCAATAAATATAAAATTATTCATCTCTAATAGACTCACCACAAAAGATGGCAAGAAGAGAGCCAAGGTCACAAAGTATAGAACTGATAAATTAGATGGGCTATACATTACAGGAAGTTCCTATGAGGGAAAACGCACACGCTCTCGATATCTTGGAAATCCCGAATATTTAAAATAACCTTTCTTGATAGTTTACTTTTTGTGATGAATAATGTGTAAGCCAGGATTTCAAATTGAAATTAAATGAGGTTTTCAGAAATTTGGTTGAATTTGAGGAAAATCGAGGAACATTTTACTCAGTCCGTAGTTTATGCGAATTTGAGTAATCGGATGAAATGTATGTGTAATATGAATAGTATGTGTGGTCATACATGGCTTTTATGTGTACATAGGAATTATATATCCGACACATCGATCGGATTTGTTGATCACATTGCATATAATCATGTGAGGACTCTGGGAGAAAATTTATGACGACACGTTATGTTTTGAACTACTTTTCAATTTAAAAAATATGAATAGTACCTACACACTAATCGAAGCCTTCACTGATCGGTTATTTTTGAGCTATGGAACTGTTCGGTAAAAAAATAAAAAGATTGTCCTGCACTTGTATAGACTTTGTACAGTTATTTATGTCGATTTTATTGGTTACTTACATGTAATGGTCATTTGCAATTTTACCGACTTTTCAGCTGATCAAAAACCCTGCATAGTTCTCGATAAAATTTTACCGACTTCAGTGATCTGAATTCAGTTTGTATGCTTTAATAAAACAATAATTTTCGCCACAATTGCTGCGCAAATACCAGTTAAGCTTGGTAAAAGGTGTTATGCCCTATTTACCTCCACAATCTCGTTTGTTTAGCTATTTTATAAACTCTGACTCGTAAATTGCGTTCACATTTCGTTAGCTCTTACCTTTGGCCCACCACCGCGTTTATTTTGGCACGATGAACGCGACAAATTCCATGATTGGCCGGAAATCGTTCTTCCATAGAAATAGAATTTCTCTCCCATTTGCCTTTACACACGTTTCTACATAGACTATCTACATTGGTCTTTACATTGGCGATATTTTTTATGCACTGTGAATGACATCTAATACTTCATCTGTATTTCCTGTCACGTATAGAATGGGAGAATTAAATGAGATAACGAGCAAATAAGAATGTTTTTGCACTTTAAGAAAGATTTCTGAAGCTCAGTTTCAAGCTTTCAAAATATAGCGAATATGTTTTCTTCTGCTTCGACTACTCAACGACGTTTATGAAGGGGCGATGATTAAAAAAACATGAATGTAATGTCGGCTTAAATGTCCCTAATTTGGGCCCATACATAAATTCAGCAATCGACTAAATTTTCAATAGCGACCAAAAATATCCATTGGTACCGTCCAAATGACCCGTTCGTATAGATAAAATTGATAAATAACAGATTTTTAGCGATGGGCCCAATCTTAGATCCAAAGGCCAACATTAGAGACATTTCCCCTACATCATATAGCGAAAATGGCTCTAATGTTGGCCTATGCATCTAAGATTGGGCCCATCGCTAAGAATCTGCTATTTATCAATTTTATCTATATTACCGCGTCATTGGGACGGAACTAATATATATTTTTGGTCGCTATTGAAAATTTAGTCGATTGCTGGCTTTATGTATGGGCCCAAATTACGGCATTTAGGTCGACATTACATCCATTTCCCCTATTTGAAAACCAATTTTTTAACGAAAAAATGGCTACTGTGCCACCCACGTTAAATCAAACAGGAAAAAATTAATTTTAAAATTACATCCAAGAGGATGCACTTCAATCATGTCGAAAATCTCATGTAAATTTTATGGTCACAAAAATAAACCAATGCAGTAAAAACAGCGTAATGTCAGTTCATACACTTTATTAATGATAATTTTGTCCTTTTTGGCAAGTAATATTACACCATATTTTTGACACGATTGAAGCAACAATCAATACGAAACTAACGATTTTAAATTGGCTCACCACTTTAGTAGCCTATTGGTCCCAAGCAAACGATTAACGTACCCTATTCTAGTTGAAATTCTATTACTACACTATGTTTGTTTTGATTCGCTATGAAAGTTTGACAGATAACATCAGGGGTGTGTGGATTCATGCAGAACATGCAGGGGTGAGTGAAATAGCTTGGGACTGCTTGGGACCGTTGTTCTGGTACTGAGTGAGCCAAAAATAATAATGATTTTCTTCGGGACCCAGTGGTCTTAGAGTTACCTCTATGATTGAAGTGCATCCACTTTGATGTGATATCAAAATTATTTTTTTGCTGTGCACCGAAAACAGCATCACGCGGTAGGTATGTCTCAAGCTATGGCACTTTGGTAAAATGAATTGCCGATTATGGAATCAAACCAGTAACCGCTTTAAATTACATTTCTAGACGAACAATTCCTCTGCTTTGATCGACTCTCTTCATCCACTATCTATTTCGTTAATAACTCACACACTTAGAAAAAATCATGTAAATTTAGGTGCTCTGAGAGTGACATATACGAGCGTCAATTTCGACATAAATTTGAGTCATAACAGACGCAAAATATAGCTCAATCAAACGTACATTTCGTCGAGCACCGAACATTACAGTCTCGGAGCACTTAATATTACATGACATGTTTGTCTATTTTGTGTTATTTCTAAGTGTGCAGCTACAAAAATATTCCCTGTTGTATCTGATGTTCTGAATACTAGACGAGAATCTCATTAAATAGCGAGAAATCTGTTTGTCTAGCCGTGGTTATCAAAAGAGAAAGTCGATTAAGAGAATCGATCAAATCGGATATGTCCTTTTGAAATGTTAATCGAAATTTAGGATTTATTGATAGTTGGCAGGATCATCACGTTAGACGTTATCAATAGCCTTTTGAAAACATCCTTCTCTGATAAATTTACGAGCATGATGCACTCGAAAGTTCAGGATATCATGCTCGTGAATTCAGCAGAATGATTTAAAAAGGCTCCAAACCGAAAATATCATTGACTGGATGAACCGAGAATCGAATCCACTGCATCCAGCATGGGTTGTGAGACTTTTATTCCACAATTTTTGTGAAAGATTGTTTGCTTTATGTGAAAACTGTTACATCCTTTCCGAAATGTATTCACTCAATATACCAAAATTATATATTATGTCAGAAGCCAGCAACCTACACAGCAAAAAATAATTTTCAATATTACATCCAAGAGGATGCACTTCAATCATGTCGAAAATCTCATGTAATTTTTATGGCCATAAAAATAAACAAATATAGTAAAAGCAGCGTAATGTCAGTTCGTGCATTGTATTAATGTTAATTTTGTGCTTTTTGGCAAGTAATATTACACCATATTTTCGACACGATTGAAGTGCATCCACTTTGATGTGATATTAAAATTAATTTTTTGCTGTGTACTTACTGCTCAGTTTACCATTATAACGAATATATATATATCCAGGGTGACTCAAAATATTGACTTTGCCTCCTGAGGTCCTGGTAATTCTCTCAAATTTATAGCTCATTTATGCGATCTCATACTGCCCTGGTCCTTTGAAGTTTATATGGGAATTAGTAAGGAAAAAGTGGACTTTTTGTTTTCATCGTTCTAGCTCTTCGCTGTAATGATCTACGAAAAAGTTTGCTATCTATACTAATGTAAAATTTTCCCAGTTACAACTTTGCTAAAGATCCAATTTTAATTGAACGTCAGGATAATAAGTGATTTGTGATTAGTTGATGACGAAGATAATGTTCTTCCGACGTGCTCCATAAACTGCTCAGCAGGCATCATTGGTGTGCTTGCCGCAAAAAATCCAGGCTACTATATCATAAGTGTAAGATGCAGTGTTGCCCTGAAAGTCGATTAGTGAAAGTTATTGGCTTCGAAATCAATTAATAACTAATTACCTTGAAGTCTAAAAGTGGCTTTGGGAAAAGCTGTAGCTGATAAATTTTCACATAACAGATAGCAAACAATTCCTTAAAACTTTATGGCAAGGACTTTCTTATAGTAATTCCCATATAAACTTCAAAGGGGGAAATAGAATCAATCGAGTTTTGTTGGTGGAGCAAAATCGATATTTTGAACCACCCTATTATATACCTACTTACCTTAAACAGCTAGGTGAACCTTGAAACTATCGAAACAGCTCTCTTGATGAGTCATTAGATGTACGTTACGTCGTGTACAGCTTCAGCTTCGGTATGAACTATTTTACATTAATCTGCAGCTTTGCAATCAGATCAAGTACACAATCAATAAATTGACATTCATTTTATTTCTCTATACTGGCACAAAATCAATGTATGACGTGTGGGCGAATTGCAATTGTCTTTGATGTCCACGTGAATGGAAAGCAATGATTTTTGAGAATCTTATTCAAAGTAGTAGTATAATATGATTTAGTTACCGAAGGAAGAGTACTCCATTTCAATCAAAGCTTATTGGATCAAAAAAGAAGAGACAATCAAACAAGCCATATTTCTTCCTCCTAACATTCGATACGTTGAAGAGTCCTATGTATTAACATTCCTATACGATGGGAAATGTAGTTCTAGTTAGCAACGAGCAACTGTTCCGCCAGCGCAAGCACAATCTAATAATAAATTCCCTGCATCAATATCATACAGCTATTTGAATTTAGAGCACACTAAAAGCAGCTCGATTGAAAGCTAGAGAGAATTATTGTAAAGTTGAGATGGAGGGCTAACAATATTTCCGTATGAGTTTGGATATTCCTGGAGACAAGATTCAACCCCCCAGGCAAAGGAAAGGACTAACATTAGTAAGCTGTAGATGATGATTATGTACGATGGATATGGTTGTATAAATACTCGCTTCATACAGTATACATATGTCACATACGTAGAGTATTATAGGGTGAGGTGTTCGTGTGTGTCAAACGATCGTTTGGAGATTTTCGATACAAGTGCAAAAAACACAATATTACGACACTTGTTTGGATGATATTTAAGAGTCAGACTCTCACAAAAATGAAATTCTAAAAACTGGTGAGGTTTCCGAAAAACGGAAGGGGAAGTTTATTTTGAGATAAAAAAAGGTGTTTGTGCAACGTAATTTATATGTACAACTACCGTATCCACTATACCAATTCTACAAAACAATACAAATCTACAACTTTTTCGAAGAGATGTATCAGCTTTTGTAGACAATGCATTTGATCGTCGCTTTGGCCTCGGCTTTGGCGTAACTGGTAGTTCGCCCACGCATGCTAATTAGCATTGGGCGATCTTGAGGTAAGAATCGATCTTATTGAATCGATTCATTTTTTATTTTGAAAATATTCGATTCACCGATTTAATCAATCACTTTAAATTGATTTAATCGATTTATTTTTCAAAATGGCACAAAAATGTTTCAAATATAACAGATCATAGGAAAGTTTGTGCACATTAACGCCAAGTTCAGTCTAAAGTTGATATTACGTTACATAAGCTATCTTGTTATGACATTTCACTTATAATAGTCATTTAGTGTGATGATTGATATCATTTAGAAATAAATTGTGTAGTACGTACGCAGTAAAAAGTGTGAGCGTAACATATATACATGATGAGGATATAGTAAATGACTATTTTGATTTCATTTGACATGCAGAAGTTTTTGCTCAGGATACTTGATTAGGTGAGTGATTTAACAGGTTATAATATTCGTTTTATTGGTACTAAATGAACGATTTAAAAAATGAAAGATTAACATATGAAACAAAACGATTAGATGGTCGGAGTGTAAAAGCAGGTGAGTATGGAAAGTACTTAATTCAGATATCCCAAAACTCAGCCGAGTGGGATCCCAAGAAAGCTAATTGAGCCATGCTTTTTGCATTGAGCCGATATCAATTCTGTGCGGTTTCGCCAGTTTGAGAGAATAGCCTCTAGATAATAATTTAGAGCGATGGGGTATACATGGAGATACGGATTTTCTCCCATGCCGATATGCCCCAAGGCGATCCAGTTCTGACATAGCAGCACTGATAAACCTGAAATATGTCATAAGAAGTGAATGTTTCTGCTGAACTGTCACACTGGTTGTGTGCAGAATCCATGTTCAAGGCAAGTGATGTACAAAGGTGAAGGCAAAAAAATCAATATTAAATTGAAAATGCAAATGCACTGAAAATTTATGTTTTGGGTCGAAACAAAAATCGAATGAAAAGGATCGATCCAGTCGATTTTTGTCGTTAGGGTAGAGCACTACTTTGTCGTAATCGCCCATTTAGGCTCTATCGAGCAGAAATCATCAATAATATCAATGATTTCACATGTGCACAAACAGTGCTGCAAATTGTTAATGTTAATACCAACAAAATGCTGATGTCAATATCTCGCATAGAGCCAATATTAATGTCACTCGCCTCAATGTAAGTGTGCAAGTGACATTGATATCGTATTGAATGTACTGAAGTTGTATAGTAAATATCTCCCATTTACGCCTGCTTAACGGGTACTGATATATAGCAAACTCATCTCAATCCCAGTCGGCGCCGCTGGGATTTTCTGAGGCATAAAATCTATGATCACGTTTGTCCCCAGTCTATGTGTTGATGGATTGATAGATATGGTCCAGGCAAGGGAGCTGCCTCCCTGGCGTCGGTAACATTGGTACTCTGTACGGAAAACAAGATCGATGGAAAACAAATCTAGGAAAAAAGCAAACTCATCGGTTCTATTAAACAATGCAATGGTCATACAAAATAGGTGATTTATTGTGATAAAAGCAAGATTTTCAACTGTTCTCTAGTGTTATTCATACGGATAGCTATGTCAAAGCCGTATCGTCTAATATCATGTTTGCAAGGACTATCAGAATCAGATGTGAAATTCAGTGCAATATCTAATATCAATTGACATTCTTGACAGCGCGCAGCACTGGCGACCCATCAAATCACATCAGAATTCAAAAACAAGCCGTTTGGCAGTCAAACTGAGTTTCCAAGACCACAATAGCCACATCGCTGTATGATAGGGAAAGTGGTTAGAATCAGATATGAGCCAATACTGATTATGTAACACATATATTCATATGAAAAGTCAATTATCGGTAGATATAAATAGCAACTTATTCGTCTACGTGGTTTTCGATCAGCTCCTGGAATCAGAAATGAGTCAAATTAAATCACATTGCTCAAAATTGATTGACCAGACTCACATCATTCAGAAATTGTCTGAATTTCAATCTTGAAAGTGGATTCCAGCATTCTTTTTGCAATTAAATTTGTAAGTAGAGTCAGATCTTATGGCAGTTGAAAAAAAAAGTGTTTGTGATGACATCATGTATGTAAGGTAGCCACCATCCCTTCGAAGATCTTGTCTTGTATGCAGCTCCACTTAATAGCAAGATCAATTTGAGCTACCGATCTGAATTCACAAAATCTCTGTTTGAGGGTCCAAAAGGAAGGGCGGACCCGTAAGCAGAGATACTTACGCGAATAAGAATCTCCTTCCAACGATACGATCCAACAAATCGAATAACGCAATTCGCAATATTTATTAAGTTTGCTACAGGATGGTTTGTTAAAAAGGGCGCGTCAATCTCATTGAAACTGTTGGAGTAGAATTCACACCACTATAATCGAATCGGTAGGATAAAGAAAATGATAGTGTTCATTCCCTTCTACTGTGTTTCCTGACTTATAACGAATATACGTTGTATACGAGTACACCAAATACAACGTATGACTTGTCTAATTTTACATAGCATTTGCAATATAAAATGAGATGAACTACATGTTGTATTCGGGGTACTCATATACAATAGTAGATACAACTTGTAAGCTAAGACCACAGTTAAAACAGTTCGGATTAGATTTAGTTTTCACCAGTAGACATAACCAGTTGAAATCATTGTTAGGATCCACTAAAGACCCAGTTAATGTTTTAGGTATAGCATGTGTATATAGGTGTAATCATTGTAACAAAGTATACGTAGGACAAACCAAGAGAACTTAAGCAACTAGATTGAAAGAACATATAGCGGAGGTTAATAGGGCTAAAAAGCAAGAGAAAAAAAGCCTAACATATGATTTCAAATCAAAGGTTGCAGAACACATCTTCACAGAGGACCACCAACTATCGACGGAGGACATCACGATTTTACGAACCGTATCTACACCATGGAAACTGGATGTTGCAGAGAGCCTCGATATCAACAAACAACGGAATTCAACTTTACTCAACAGGGATCAAGGAAACGGACACACATGGCTTTTCAAGTAACTACCTAGAAGGACACATCACCGAGTAAGTAGAGGAGTACCTCCTACAGGAAATTAAATTATATGATCTCTTAAGTTCAGACGCAAGGTCTATGTGCTTACTGTTATTTATATCATTGTTTTGTCATGAAATGAGGTACAGAAAAATGCAGATCGTCAAATGCATTGGTATAAGTAACCCAAAAATATTGTACGTTTTTTACTACACTCGCTTCATTGTCGTTCGCGACAGTCCGTTTGTATTCGTACACTCATGTTCCTTATCGAAAAATATTAAACCAATATTTTTTTGACGTTGGATAACGTCTTTCGGCAACATACGGGGGTACAAAATTGAAAACAGTCATATTGGATGCGTTACGAAATTGAAAGATTTTGAACGATAATAACTCAACCGTCTCTCGATAGATTTACGAGATAATGGCATCAATCGATTGGAAATATTTCTAGCAATTTGCTGAATGTTTCAAAACTATTGATTTCATTCTGTAAACTATTGAAAAATTGTTAAAAGTAAACCATTGTCTAAAGATGGTGAAAATCGATTGATTTTTTTATATTCTTATACTTTCTCCAACCGAGACATCAGATGCGAGTATCTGACACCTCTGATATTTTCTGTTCTACTATATAAGCGTCCAACAAGGGTGCCCGTTCCATCATTGTCTATCCGATCGTCGACCCAGCAGCAGAGCAGCAGTACCAGAGCAGCGGAAGCAGAGCAACGGCAGCAGAGCAACGGCAGCAGAGCAACGGCAGCAGAGCAACGGCAGCAGAGCCTGGGGTACTGGGGTGTGGGAACGCTGGAAGGGGAGATGCTGTCTGTCGTCGAACTACCAACATCATTCCAAAGCTCCTCCAGGGCGACAGAGTAGAGCAAACATCAACAACAACATCAGCCCAACAAAACGGCCCTTTTCAGGGCCACCAAACTTTCGCAAAAGAGTTATTAAGGAATATTCCTAAAATATAATATACACAATTAAGTACAACACATAACAGACGTTATCCAACGCCAACCCTGCGGTCGTATCTAGTATACAACCCT